ACAAAATATTTTTAGCTCACAATGTTGTCATCCGAGTGTCTTTAACCCTAGTCACGTGTGAATGTAACGAAAAATCGTGGTCCTGAGAAACAATTATTATTATAAAAGATTAAAAAAAAGATTAACTGTTAGTCTACGTTCAACAATTCGTTTCGCGATTTTTAAGAGAAAAATAAGAGGAAGCCTGTCTGTGTCGATTTTTTCGGAACTGATACTGGTTTAAACGTTACTTTAACCGCGATTATCTCATAGTAGGATAACGTTGTTGTCATAAAAATGCTGGTGTAGTCGTACATATCGTCCGTTTTATGATATATTATCATATTTATGACGTCATCATACATTGCTCATAGGACAATAGCTTTTGTAACCTCAAAAGCCAGCACAATGAAGACAAAAAACAACCCGGTCACCTCACTATACCGTACCGTAACTTTTAAGAGGTTCTCAGAGGTAACGGCTTCTGTTCTATAAAGATTGAACACTATAGAAAAAAAATTAAGTATGTTTATCAGTTATCTAGTATCAGATCTTGGACTGTGGTTTATAATTAGTTGCAAAAGTTTGAGCATAATGACGATCCATTATAACATAATATAATCCAATATAATATAACATAAATAAAGGCTGTTGCTTATCTATTATATAATCAGATGTCATAGCTCATTATTGGTGTTTTTTTATAATTTAAAATTGTTATTTTTTTTTTAAGTTTGTCTATCTTTCCGTTTGTTCTTACGCTGCTTTTTGTTGTGCTTGCATTATTGAATATATTTGTATAGTCTTCTGTTTACAATAATTGGCAATGCAGCGATTAATTGCTGCAATGTAATGACAGAGATGGTGCAGCGGTGATGAACGTAGGGCGGTCAGTTCGGTGCGAATGCGCGTCACGCACGCAGGAAGCGTGCGGCGACCTTCAACACGCGCGCCATGGCCGCCGTCCTCTGCTGATCACTTCGGCTTTATTGTTCACATTGTTGCTATTGCCATCTGATTGTAATGATTGTTGGTATAGGATGACAGTAAACGATTATTTTGACATACATATATGTTTCAAACCAATGATTTGTCGAAATAAATATTTTTTTAACCGTATCTACTAGATTATTATTGTTTAAGATCTAAACAATAGTTTGCATTTTTTTATTATTTAGCTTTTTTTGTAAAAAGAATTCGTTTTATTAGCTAAAATACGACATAGCTGATGAAAAACGTTTAAGTATCACAGCTTATCAACCATTGTCATTATCTATTTCCTTCTTTTCTTCGTGATATCTACGAAGATCTCGACTTACATTATCTAGTAATTTCTATGTTATATTTTTCGTACCCGTAAAATAGAATAGATACCTCCTTGAGTAACATTTTATATAATAATTTAAATAATAATAGTTCTATCAAATAGTAGTATTATTTTATACGAAATCTTTCAAAATTGTCTGTGTGATTACCGCTAATTCTAATAACTTAAAAACCTAAACTGTAAAACATGATTTCTAACTGGCCACTATTGGATATCGGGCTCCCCGATAGATTGCCTTTGTTATTGAAGGTTTTACTAGTAGTTGTCACGCTTGGAAGGCGTGTTGGCAACCGCAGTTAGGCTTTGATAACGTTTTAAAAGAGACATTGGTGCCCATCCCTTGATCACTAAGTTCCCTTTGTCGCCTCTTATTATACCTACGGGAAAATAAAAAAAAGACCATTCTACGCCAGGATCTCATGGCAAAATATGAAATTGTGAAATAGATGCTGTAAGATGACCCTAATAAATGTAATGCACTGAAGTGTAAAAATAAAAAAAGAAACGTCATAAATTAGAATATTAGACAGGATAATACACGTGTAAAAATGAATGATGGGTCATCATCAGCTCTAGTCTTAAAAACGAGACAATGTACTCTCGTCCACGTGATCAACGTGAGTAGGACGGACAAAGGGCATAATCGTCCTATTGACAATAATGAAAAAATAATAATTTTCTACATTCTACTATGGAAAAGTGGTGTTACACACGCGATAGATTCTATTTTAATCTTTTGACAATCACGACGTAATTGAAACTAATTATTGCGCTCAACAATTGTTCTTTGCGCGTGCGGTTGATAAGCACATCACGTTCGATCGAGCCGTGCTCAACAATTAAGTAAATTTTATTTATACAAAATATTCACGATATAAATAAAAATAGTAGACATACACGTCTGCCACAAAGGTATGTTATAAAATTAAGCTCTATTCATTATTAAAGATTACAAGAATAAAAAGTCTTATTTTGTTTACCAGAATATTGTTTATACTCTATTTATTATCGATTCATTTATTTCTTTCTTCAACATAAGTACACCTATTAATTATATCAGTTAATAGTGCTAAGATGCCAGAATATAAATTTTTAAAATTATGTTAATTAATCATATCCTTTGTATCCAAAGTATGTACTGTAAAAGGATTATTTTACTATTATTCCAGAAAAAAGTTATACACCTATTTGGTATTATAATTTTCATTTTATTACAATGAAGTCTCTATGTTAGTAATAAATAATTGAACTGATTTCAATATGTACATTATTTAGAGATTTGCAATTCACGACTTAAGTTTTTATTTATGATACAGACATCAATTATAGGAGACTAAGAAATAAACGATTATAAATAATCCTATTGCGACTATTTTCCTTAAATAATGCATGATAATTATGTTTTCGCATCAAACGCCAGTGGAAGATTCTTGTAAATACCTAATAATATTAAATAAACATTTCTGAAATTGCTTAAGTGCAATTGTAAATTCATAAAATAAATGCATATACTATATTGCAGGATAAAGTTCGCCGCTTTATCATAAACATACTTATATACGTATGTCACATATTAACAATTGATTATGTACATAATACATTTTCAGTATTTTTTCGATGCATAATCCACTTGTCTTTCTACATCATCAACGGAAACAACAATAATTACATAACATCGTATAGGTTTTACACATATGTTTACATTGAAAGCTGTTGATCTAATTACTAATTAACTATTATAATCAAGTCCACGAGTTGTTGGTGGCGCAGCATTAAATCTGTCATCCCATCGGTATGTACCTGCGTATATCGAACAACGTGGCTCTAATTCGTGCAGCGTATTATTATGCTACTACGTTACACTTACATGTATTGAATTAAATTCAACAAGACACAAGTAAACAATCAGTGACACGAGTAAAGAAAAATAACATCAATATGTAATAAATCTTTGGAATATTTATCTCAGTTTGTTTTGCAATAAATATATCAATACCGTTTAATTAGTGATATCCAACTTCCGTGAACAATAATTAAAATTGTATTGATGGTTTTTTAAGATGCAAAACGGAACGCTTATTCCAGATGTGCATGGTAAAAACGTTGCGTGGGTGTCGTTCTAGATATTAGCGTTGCAGTGTGCGCTTGTATTATTAGTGTTTTTCAAAATAATAATAATAATAAACTTAACAAAATAAAATATTATATCAACAGCATATCTTCGGTTATAATACACACAACTATTAGCTGTCTTTCTTTCATTTCACCCTTCAATACTGAATGCAGTAACACAGGTACAGTTTGAACTTAAGTCTCTTTATAACATGCAGTATGAGGCTCAGGCAATTGATATGATTATTTGGTATTTATATTATAAATTAATAAGACTAGATTTGTAGATTTTTACCTGCTACTTCGTACGTGACAATTTTAGAAGTAGGAAGAACAATGAAATAACCCATGATGGCTATCAAGATATATATCATAAACCAGCTTTTAAGTTAGACTTTCAAGAACACAACTACGAAAGTTGCATTCAATTTAGTGTAGTCGTTTTTGTGTGATATCAGAACAAACATATAGATAGCACAGGTAAAATTTCAAAAAAAATTGTTTTAGATTCTACTGCTATTAAAATCCCTTAAATCAATTTTTCTTAAATATCTCCCGAGCACGGATGTCTGTGCTCGGGAGATATTTCCACTTAAAAAATTTTATAACATTAGTATGATGTTTCTAAATAAACACAGAACATTAGCTCTTTCTCAATCTTGGTCATGAATTAATTTATTAGATTTAATTAGAGATGGTAAAAAAAAAACATAATATAACGTACGGAATACAAGGAAGCGTTTAGGAATATTTGCACGTGTCAGTCTTGTTCTCAGTAAGGCATATCACTATGATCGCTTAGAACAGATGTACTTCCGAGAACGAAGTTGCGTGACATAGGTCAAATAATTTAAACAACAACTCCTAATAAGCGTTCTAACTATCAAACTGGAATGTTGTATTTTATCTTTATTTTCACACTATCTTCCTTTTGTGGTTAGCAGAGAGAATATTTTTAAAATATCATCTCGTTCTACTACTAGTGCTACAAGTAACAGCTATAACTCTTTCTGAGAATCCAAAAGACTTTTCAGTCTTCAATTTCTTCAACATATTCGTATTTTTAGGTTTTTGTAAGTGTTTTATTTTTATTTTATAATGCAACATACATCGAATCAACAATATCATCGAAAAATATAACTGAATATACCTACTTATATAGTTATTTATAAATAAATATAAACTCTAATCGTTGACTTTAACGAAGGATGTACTACAATTGAATATTTTAAAAATTATTTTATTAATGTTAGCTTAATTTGTGGTTCAGTCCACACTTTTATTAGCAAAACAATCAAAATATTGTTGGCTTTCGATTTCATCTAATGTGAAAATAGTAATAGTTGTTACATGTACATATAAATGTAAAATATTTTTTAAAAGGATATCTGTATGTATGTATATATATGTACATAAAAGCTGACTGACGTTAATTTTAATTCATAAGTTAATGTTTTATTTTGTATTTATGTTTAGGTTTGATTTATTTTTACGCACTTGTGTATTTTTGCACTTTAGGAGATATGTTTTATTCATAGAAAACAAATACAATCGGGTGAGTCTCTTTATCTATTTGTTCCAGTACGACACACACAGATTTCCTAATGCTGGGTTTTCAAAGTTTGAAAACTTAGGGCCGTACTTATTTACGGAGGTACGTATGTACTGGTATGTAGTTAGGTAGCTGGTGTAATGGGTATACATTTTTATTTATATTGTTATTATTTTTATTTTTTTTTATTATATTTTTCTGCACTTAGTGGGCATACGGTTAAGCTACATCATATATGTGGCTAAGGTTATTTACTATATTTATCCATCCACACTACAGAAAATTTTGCCAGTCTTCTATAGGTCTGTATAGTAGGTACATTATTATCTACGATTTACGTAAAATATTTCCTTTTTTCAAAAAGTTAGCCTCTATTATGTCATTTAAAAAGATGACTTTTTTTAAATCATTGTCTCACATTACAATCGATATCCATGGCTGGTATATTTAGAAGTGTAGGTAAACAAACCTAAATGCCGGACAATTTTAGTAAAAGTATGACTATTAAAGTAATGTATGATGTAAGTACCATGGACATTTTATGACACCCAATGTCACTCAGTAATAGTACTTACTAAAGACTACACAACGAAACTTCATGACTTTGAATTTTTATCACAAAGTTTCAATAGTTTATAATATGCCATACAAGTAGAATCTATAGTATAGCCGAAGTTATACTCACGTCATTAAGCTTTAAACGACACTAGTTTTACGTCACGTTTACGTGATAAAATTTGTCGAATGATAATTTTGTTCAAAAATAGCGCGAAGCATAAAACTCTTATTGAAACTACCATAATGAAACTTATTTAATGTCATTTTCGAAATGTAAATTAGGCTTTATGTAATACAGTACGCAATAATTGAAGGCGTCACTGAATGCCCGCATGGTTTACATATAATCGTTTATATACATACCTATTCATAATAGTTCTGTGACTGATGGCTGATGTTGCACATGAGTATATTATTATTCATAAATAAACAAACATTTTCCATGTGGAATAAGTATCTTCACTAGTGTGGTCATTTATATTTTAATATACTTACATAAAATTATATTGATTAACAAATCATGGTGAATTATGGGTGTTTACATATTTGCATATCTAATAACAACTTATATACGCAATTACACTGTTATTACGCCATATTTTTATACAAAACAAAACATGTGTAAATAAATTTAAACATAAAAAGATATCCCTTTTTGTATTTACAATAAAATATTTACGCACTCTCAAATATTTCCGTCAAACTCGCAAGGGGCATGCCATGTAGATGTTATTAGATAATAATTCATATACTACACATATAACACAAATAGCTTATAGATTTTTTTAAATCTCTAAAACTGGAATATATGAGTAATTAGATGACAAATATCTGGCCACAACTCCCAACATGCAAGTTAATTTATGGTTTTAAAAATTTTGCTCAACTGTGAATCAGATTCTTAGAAAGTGAATCAAATTAATTTATTCTAAGCAGTCTTCAAATTAATAAAGTATGTAAGGGTAAAGGAAGGTATTTAATATAAATTTTTATTGAAACTATATTATTAGGTTTTTAAAATTGTAAATTATTAGTTTATTCAGTCTTTAAATGTATTATATTTAGAACACATTTGCACAAATAGAATATATTTATAATCACCTGATTCACCATAATTTATTTATTCAGAAATAAGCACCTAATCGATTTACACAGAATAGAGGTATTGTCTGTAAAATTAAATATGGCTTCAAATACTGCAATAAATGTAAATTGTAGGTAAATAAGAATATAGATTATTATAGAAAAGTAGGTAGTATTTTGTTTTCTAAGCATATCTATAGTTTAGAACTCTTACATACAGGTTTGTATATAAATTAGAAGTAGTTTCTATTCTAAATAATTCCCTAAATCTTTGCTCCATTGTTCCCCAAGTTCTTATTATAGATATAAAAACTAATATTTAGTATTTGATGTGTATACAGTATTTATTACATTATTTTAAAAGAGTCATAGTATTGTATTTGTACATCTATAATAGGACAAGATTCTGTAACATCAACTTATTATCCTTAATGTTTAGCATTATTTATTTCATTACTCTATAAAACTAAGAAATTAATTATTAAAATCACTCCAATATGACTAAAGATTTCATAATAATACACAATAAACTATACAAAAATATACTAACGAATTCGGAATCTCTCTTCTAGATATCGATTAAAATTTTGAAAAATATCACTTGAAAAAAAATTCATTTTAATAATATTAATTTATGAAGTTACAGCTTTGAAGATGTATTAGTCAATGCTATTCTCTATTGACACTATTAGTTAGTGATGGTGCGTGATAATTTGAGCTGTTCAATGTGTCCTGAGGCAATGAAATTTACATAAACGAAGTAGGTATGTGGCACAGGCACAGCGGTTCCTGACAAAGGCGGCTGCGTCTCGCCGCAGGCACAACCTCCGACCGTTATAAGGACATACTGACCCCGATTTTTATACATTTTTGAACTCATAATTATTGCATTAAGAGAAATGCTCCTTGTACATTGTTGAACTCGAAATAAGATCTGATATGAATATATTTATAATGAATTTACAGTTATCACTTTCATTTAAGTGGACCGTCGTCAGCTTGTTTAACATAACTGTGATAATAAATACTCGTAGAACAATCTTAAGAGATCGCAAAGCAATATATTACTGGAGGTGTTTATATACTTTGAATATACCTTTGTGATATAAAAAATTGTATACTCTTTATTCTAAAATCTACTTAATTATGTTATCAAAACTATTTCTAAACAAACTTCTTACAATTTTAATGAAATTAGTAAGACTAATCCGAGACAAATAAAAAAATATCAATATTGTACGCGTACTGTTCAATATCTTGACCTTTTCTACTGTTCTTTTTTTTATATACAGCAAAGATTTTTAAACAAATATGCATAAAAAAACATTGGAACTCATAACCTCTTCCTTTGAATTCGTTTATTATAAATGAATGTGCTTTTACCAGCAACTCGTTACTTTTCACAACTTGTCAACGGCTTTACACAAACTTGCTGTTTAACATTCGAGCAAGCGAGCGATGCCATTGAAATGTATATGCGATATTATTTATGTTTTAGTTGCACATGTAAGAATATAGACACACATTCTTTGTTATAAATGGTATTGTACAAATACTCGGTGTGTTATGTTTACAATACGACATAGCATCGAAGCCAGTGCCAGCGGATGTCAACGCCCGCCGCGGCATTAGCCACTGAGCGCACCCAAAACCCGAGGTTCTCATGGCCTTAGTCATTGACATGTTGTGATTTAGAACTCGTAAAAGGAAGGGATATTTTCAACTCTATTTAAATTTTATTAGTAATTATTATTTTATTAGCTATATATATAAAGCTATATATATATATATATATATATAGCTTTATATATATATATATAGCTTTTAATTAAGATGGCTTTTAATGGCTGTTATTACATTCTGTTCATCATCATTTTATCTACCTATTATTGTGAGATAAGTAACTTAAGTAACTTGTATATTAATTATATGGCTGTATTTCTTTGTTTAATGTCATAATTCATTTAACACCAAATTTTTTTCTAACTTCTTTATATTTATATATCTAAGTGTTCAGAATTTAAAAATGTCGATTTTATAATATTGAATTTATGTGCATCGTCAGATTTTAAGAGAGAATTATTTTCTTTTTTTTTTAACTTTAATTTTGTGGCCCGATTTTCAGATTAACTGTATGAGGGAAGGGGTGAGACCTCTTTCAATAAAATAGTTGAACGTGTGTTTGTGCAAAAATACTAGTTAAAACTTTTATTTGTCAATATTTTATATGAAAATTAAAAGTAAAGCTGTAAACTGTAAGCTAAATTTATGACTAATATGTAATTATATAAAAAAAACAGGTATACTTTTTTCTATATAAAGTGTGCAAATATAAGACAATGGTAGCCTTATTTATCTAATTTTCCTTGTGGATTTAAAAGGGATAAAAAAAATTATGTGTTGCTTTCTTTCTAATAAATCATGAAATCCCATTTATTCATTTCTACCTTTAAATGTTCACTGGCGAATAATTAGTTACTTCAAGCATATACTAAGTTAATTTATTCAGGGCTGTACAAAACAATAATGAATGCAGTGTTTCGGGTATTGACTGTGACAGACATACCAGACCTATTGTTGTCAATACTAGTAGTATTCCCCATGCGGTGGAAGGGAACAAAGAAGCGTGTATTATGCGCGCGCGAATATTGCAATGCTGTGCACGCCGCGCTCGTTGTCCACAGTCGCTGCCACTGCCAAGGTCGTACACGTGTTCAACTCTCATCCCCGAGACAGAGGGATATTTGACCATTCATTATAGGATTATAATTAGACTATTTTATAAAGTTCCTGATGCACTCTTATAAGGTAATTTTCAGCAAGTGCGACCCCCGCCCGATATCAATAGACCTTTCAATTGTGCTTTAATTCGAGTCTTCAGAAAAGCCGATGTTGCCGAAATATTAAAAGAATTTTTTATAAAATAATTTGTAGTGAAGTTAATTCTTCTGAAAACTCGAAACTAAAAAAGTTTATCAAAATTAAACAAAAATGTCTCTTGCTAAAAATCACCTTACTATTTTATTGACTTTGCCTTTGCATTTAGCCAATGAAAAAATTTAATACTTATTATTTTTTAATAGTTAGTTAAAAATAAAAAAAGGCTTATAAAATAAAGAAAACAAAATTTTATTATAAGAGTTAACACTTTCCGTATATTTATGAAACTAGAAAATTAAGCTATGTAATCACCTAGATGTATCAAAATAATAAAATTAATATTCTGTGAAATGAAATGAAAAAATAAATGATGATTTAATCAAAAACTAAACTCTGTGTAATAAGATCTGGTTCCATAGAGTTCATACAAATATTTTTGTTCGAAGTTATGCGGGTCTAGTTTGCAATAATAAATGATTAAAAAAACTTAATATCATATTTCAATTCTCTTAGTATAAAATAAATAGAATTATTTTGTTTTGTTTTCGGCTTGTACTTATCAGTTTAATAGTAAAATTGCGCGCCAAAATGGAATATTATAAAATAAAAATAAAAATAATTCCAATTCTCTTAATAGAATAGAATATAGACGAGTTGTGAGCAATTTTTGTGCTAAAATTAAATTTAAATAAGTATCTACTAAAAATATTATCAACTAGTGGTAAATTCATAAATTTTTTAATATATATTGAAGTACCAGTAAATATATATTCAAGTACTAGGGTACTTGATTTCAATATATGCACATACATATGAATTATAGGTATAATTTATTTTTTACTCGACGGTAGAGGAATAGAGTTGAATTTTTTTCGAGAACTATATTCACATACATATTTGCTGTAATGTATAGCTCAATATGGCTTTTATATAATAAAAAACTTTGTTATCTAACAGAAGTCTAGTAACCATAATACCATCTCACTAGTTTGTGACTAGATAGAGCTGGACAAATATTCGGGGTTTTTTATTTTACTATAGTTCAGTTTGAAATTATTACGGCCTTTCTGTTACAATGTCTGTAAGTAATTATAAAATTTCCACGATTGTAAACAGGGAAATATAAGGGAATTAGAATATTTTATGAAACACGAGCAAGTATTTGAATCTTAATACTTACGTCGTCTTACTTTATGTTATCCTTATCAAAAGCGTTGACAATAAACAATGGGTGGGTAACCTTGCGATGATGCGTGATAACATCATGTAGCTACGAGCAGATAACCGACATCGTACAGGAAAGCAACGAGTCGAGAAATCTGCGTCACACGTTTTATGAGTCATTAATTAATAAACTTATCTTAGTTTAATGCTCCATTATAACTGTAACCAAATAGAAGAACTATAACTTAGAGTTATTTGTATATTATTACGTATTCTGTTATATTGGTGGGTGTATATTATCATATTATAGTTGTAATTTTAGAGTGCATATTATATATAATGTTCAGTATGTAGAGAAATTAATTACTAGAATGTAACAAATATTTAGAGGTAGATTGTACCTGCAGAATAATTTTATGTCAGATCTAGGAGTTTAAAAGAGCTTTTTTTTATAAAAATTGTAAAAAAAAATCATTTCAATTATAGTACTTTACATACACGCTCAGCACGAGTAGTGCAAACTTAGTTATATATACAAAATGAATCCTATTATAATACGCATAGAGTATATTTGTGATTGTTGTTGTAAGTGGATTTTGAGTCTATGTTTTCCTAAATAACTTCTACAGAGAATCGAATCCGCAAACATGTTTACGTGAAGCAATAAGTGTTACCGTTACGATACAGTCTTCAAGTTAACTATTCAACTGTTGTTGATAATTTTATACACATACTTACTTATTATGACAAGTTCGTATGATTCACGAAGATTTATGTGGTGCCAACATTATTTGTAATGTGCCAACATGAAAATAATAACGGATTTGTTTGTTTGATGTAAATAATAGTATAATTTTTTTTATTATTAATCTACCTCATTATCATAGAGATAAATCTTTATTTATATAAGCTATTTAATGTTCATAATGATGTACCAGTATTAATTTTCTTTGAAATTACTATTAGAGAACTAAACATTAAAATTTCAAATCCTTTACTTAACTGTTTTGCGACATAGACTTTTCTCATATTCTATATGAGGAAGTTGTTGATAAATGTGACATAATCTTGTCTCATTAGTCATCATACATTCTATCTTTATGTTTTAATAGATACTTAGAGACGAGTTTTATATATTTTAATAATATGCTAGAAAGCTGAAGGATTTTATATATATACCGGACCAACTGTCGCATACTTCATTACAGTTAATAAATACTATATACCTACAATAATTACACAAGTAAAAATAATAAGTTATAATTTAATTTTCTTTAACTTATCAGTCATTGTATAGATACTACACTAACCTATCTACACATTCATATGTTACGGTTTTTTTTTATTTGATGAAAATACAATGGTAACTGCGGGTGTATGCTGACTGGTACCAGTGAAAGGTGATAGGTGGTATTTCAGTTTTAATCTTTTAATTTTTAACAAATTCACATAAAATTACACAATGGTTGTCAGGGTGTACATTGCTAGCACTGGGGGCCGGTATTCTCATTACTGCCAACTCCTTTCCTCTTCATAATTTGGGTACCTACAATAATAATTTTGAACTCGTTTCACCTAATATGCCAAATTTCTATGTATACCAATAGAACAGACGGGGTTATCAGTTTATTTTTAGCCCATAAAATGTGTTAGGTTCAAATTATCAATCAGATATAAGTACTTCTGCTGAACGTAATAATCGACAAAAGATATGATTTTTTGCCTCTGTTTATATGCTTGTTATCTGTTATTATTGTTGTTTATATCTCAAGGTATATGATTAAGAATACATGTAAGTTACGAGTACATATACATATCTCCTATTATTGTTTATAAAGTTATTGATAGTTTAAAGCAAGCGAGATTATTTCGCTTGAATATCTAGGTATTATTAAATTATATTTTAATCATAACAATATCACAGTGTTATTATAGTATTTATAATAACACTGTGATATTACTGTCTTTGTAGTTATTCTATAAGTTGGATGCTATTAATATATTATTATGATACGTAATAGACTCAACAGTTCATAGTTATGTATATTTTAATTTCAGATGTACCTAGACAAATTCGGATACCTAAGTCCAAAGATCCGAAATCCCACGAGTGGCCATATCATAGACGAGAGTTTATTTAGAAAAGCAGTCGCAGAGTTCCAAAGTTTCGCTGGATTGAACGCGACTGGTAAGTATCAATACTTATTTATTATATACATTTTTTTTTGTGATTTTGTGATTTTACGATTAAATTCTGAAACATCAATTATGTAGCAGTGGTTTAAGTAATAACTAAACACCAATGGTCAATTGCGAATTATTCCATTTTCTAAACCTATTTATTATTAATGATTTTTACTAATTTTTACCTACGACTTCATTTACGTGACAATTTTATTGATTGACTGGTATAAAAAAGTTGTTTATGTCCTTTACTATTTCAAATAGTACATATACTAAATTTTATAATGACTGGTTGAACAATTAAAGCACCTAACAAATAATAACAAACAAAAAATACAAATTTATTTCACGCTAAAATTTTAAATCAAAACATTAACGTAAGGATTTCAGGAAAAAGAATTTTCCTTCTTTTGAATTGTATATATTTTTTATTTTCCTTAAAGTGTGAAAAGGAGTGGTGATACTTTATATTCTTACTCTGTTACCACGCGAAGATTTAGTGGCATAGGTAATTTTATTAGGTATATGTGAGATAATCCGTGTTTCTTGACAATCAGTAATTGAATGGCCCTGAAGTTTTTATATTACAGCTATCATGTTACATACGGACATTGCAATTACTACTATATGCCACCACGGTCAACCAACTTATTTAAACATCGTAGAATTATGTGGGCAGAACTTGAATCGTTTTGAGACATGTACGTGCTTTGACACAAGAAGTAGTTTATTGGTCTTGGGTACCTGTACAAATGTGTATTATGTAAGCATATAACGCCGCGGTCGTATATAAATACATAATTCATTATGAGCCAGTGCACGAGTTTGGTTGGAATTTGTTACAAGCTCATTGCTTTATATGACTCAAATACAATTTTATTAAAAAAATATTTGGTATTCTGTAAGTAAAATTTAACTGTACTTATGCAGGATGCAGGATAAGTACAGTTAAACCTTTATCATCTCCGCCAAATTTTCTTAAGGTTTCTTAAGGGCCAACATCGTGCGCGTGTCATCCCCGATCCCTTACCCCGTTTACCATCAAATGAATCGTATGCTTGTTTGTTACCATAGTAGTGGAAAAAATCATAAATAATAACATGGGTTGATACTGTTCACTTACACTGTAGATACAGTTTTAAAATTAATACATAAAAAATGAAATATATTTTATTATGAATTTATCATAATATGTTGCATTGATCTGTTAGTCAACTTCTAATATTCAGTGGTTGTTTTTTTTCTTTGATTTTATTTGATGCACATTATGAATGCAAAACTTTAATAGTTGTGTTTTATATTATCACGCAATGTTAATAGGTGTAGGACAACTAAATGGTAGTTCGTAAAACTACGGAATTTTACGATTTGTCATAGTTACATTTAGCCCGCAATCAATGTCCGCTCTATGTCTGAGTCTATAGGCGTTGTTCCTGTTTATTCATCGTTTTCCGTGAGCGGTTTGGTCGATGGGACTGTGTAATTACTTCCTCAACGCCAAATGTCACAAAAAGTTCGGAGTTCTGCCATTGGATTCATTATTTGTAGTTGTATGTACCCGTCATTCTCTGTGATTACACATTACTAGATGAAGTAAGAATACAACTGGTTACAAACTGTGATGAGGCGAAAAATGAATACAGAAATTAAGTTTAATATAAGTGAATACAGAATTTAAGTGCAAAAAAAAAAAGAATCGAAATAAAATTCTATAACGAGCCACGTACACGGCTAGTCATTCTTTTTCTTTCAGCCTCACTCTCTTACTTTGCGAAGGTACTTTTTACGGATTGTTAAAAATATTATTCGTCATATAAACCAATAGTGTTAAAGTTTATACTTAGTCAAAATGATACTCTTGCAATATTTTATGAGATTTAAATGAAATATTGTAAGTAATTATGATACCATTGACTGTTACTAAAATGAGATTTAATTACATTTTTCAGGCGAATTAGACGATGAAACGAAAGAAGTAATGGCACTACCAAGGTGTGGCGTAAGAGATAAAGTTGGTTTCGGGGAAAGCCGCGCCAAGAGATACGCTCTCCAAGGTAACTATTCTTTACCAACAGACCAGTCTAGATTGTTTACTTTAAAAGTAACAACTGAGGTACTAAATAAATTTAGGTTTGCTTACTTCATTTTCTTTGTATTTAAATATAGAAACTGAATATATTATGCAGTTTTCAAAATATTCTCCATGTCATGTCAGATATAACGAAGGTCGACACGGAGGACAGATCATATCAAAACGTCGAAACACTTTGTTCTATATTCCTTTTCTATTTAGGTTCAAGGTGGCGTATTAAGAACTTAACGTATAGAATAGCCAAATACCCTTCGAGACTGAATCAGGCCGATGTGGACCTCGAGCTTGCCAAAGCCTTCTCCGTGTGGTCTGATTACACAGACCTGACCTTCACACAGAAACGTTCCGGACAAGTCCATATTGAAGTGAGGTTAGTATAATAAAATGTGTCCTTGTAAAACAGTCCTGCTATTGGAATGTGCTGCTTTCTTTGATGCTACGACTTCTTTTGAATCTTATGTATTTATATTAGTGTTGTAAGCAATCTTGAATATAGATCAGCTTGTTTGAATGCATACGTGTGTACATTAAATAAAAGGAAAAGGAATAAAGGTGCGGAGGGCAAAAACGTTTTGTTTTACCATTTTAAAATTGTTTTCGGAACTTATTTGGAGATTTGCCAAGTAGTTAACATAACCTTTAAATGTGGGCACATTTCACTGAATTTATTTGAATTTAATGTGGATGGAGATAAAGAGCCTTAACCATCATTATAAAATTAATGGAATATAAAAATGGACATAAAAAATAGGCATTGGTCTCGTGAGATTGGAAATTGATTTACTACTTCACGACGTCTTCTCACTGTACTGAATAACTAAATAATGATATGTATATGTGTGTGAGAATACACGGAAGATAACAATGTATGCCATAACATCGGCTATTGTATGAGTGGAACTATTTGTACCAGTAATCACACTTTTTCGTCACAATCCATGGTAATCTTTGTTGCGTAATTGAACGCAAATGGCTAACATTGAGTCGGCTGCATTACTGTTTGCCTTACCTACTCGATGGTCCATTGTTACCAATATATATATTCTATTGAAAACATCATAATAGCGTCGGATGTATTTTATTATATATGCAAAATTATGTAAATCGTAGTGATGTAATAAACGTTACAGTTGATGGTTGATTATGGAACATATTTTTGATAATAATTGTTTAAAAAGTGCAGTTGGATTTACAGTTATTTATTCCCACCATTAGCAAATAAACAAATGTTTCAATTAGATTATCAATCGTATTACAATTACAATGTGAACAGTGAGCACAAGCTTAAAAATACCTGACTAATACTGAATAAATATTTATCCAGGGTTATCACATTCCAAATAGTTAATATACGCAGCCTAATTAGCTTATTTTATATATACTTTATCATTGCTTCGCCCTTATTATGTATACAGCTAGCCTTATATATGCGAATTTTAAATATCGTATATTTAGAACCTTGTAATCAAGTCCTATATTTTTTATTTATTATGGTGTTATGATTTAGGTTCGAGACGGGTGAGCACGGAGATGGGGATCCATTTGACGGCCCCGGTGGTACTTTGGCCCATGCTTATTTCCCTGTAAGTATAATACAGTAATGTAATATATCTAATAATAATTGTGCGTTCAAATCAAGTTTTTTAAGGATGAAAAAATCATCAAAATAAGTATCGTCTTAGGAAAAATTATATTTGTCGAGATAAATACGTTTCTTTCATTATTTGTAACAAAGCTAACCTCAATCGTCTAGATATCAGCTATTGATTGTCATAAACCTCCCTCCATTGGGGGGTTTGTCAAAAGTTACCACGCTTGGCAGGCGGGTTGGCAACTGCAGTTAGGCCATGGAGATGCTTTAAAAGGGATGCTGCTGTCCATCTCTCGACCATTAAGTTCCCTTGGTTGCTTTATACGACACCCACAGGAAAGGTAGGGGTGGCTTTTTTTATGCCGGGCCCAATAAATAGCTAGTCCAGGCCCAGTCAATATTGAATAATTAATGTTTAATTATTCAATATTGACTCATAAAGTTTATTTAAAAATAATATACTATGCCTTACTAGCGAAAATATAAACTTGTTAAATATTAATACATATAACACATTGAGATAATTTTAAAATAATTAATAAATCTGGTCTAATAATATACCTACATTATAAAAATATTCTCTGTTGCTGTTTAAAATAAACATTTATTTTAATCTTATACAGTAAGAACATTTTTTTCCTTGTTATGTACCAAAGCGTTGAATATTGATATGTTAAGGTAATCCTATTCGAGAAAATATTTAAAATTACTCTATTAAAATTCAAATCAGATAATAAATATTCATTGTAAATTGAAGTAGGCAAACGTTTAATTTGTATTGTCTTTGTTTGTGGTTACAAATGTACGTATATAAAAATATATAACGAACATATTTACGAGTGAGACTCTACTTTGTAGACTTCCGCGATCGTTTTCAGCTTCTCGTCGTTTTATTTTTTAGACACGCTTAAATTTAGACGACATCAAAATGATAAAAAACCAAAATGTGTGAAAAGAGTAAAATGTCTTACTAGTTCTATTTCATGATTTTGTCCATATAAATTATATAATAATAAATGGGAACAAAATATATAATAAGTGGGATATGAAATTTAAACGATATATAGTATTGGTATAAACCATATCAATCAATCAAAATATAACACAAACATTGCCAAAGTATCTAAAGTTTTAATCAAAGTAAACCTGCAGTTACAGCCCAAATGTGTCATCTATATATTATAAATATATTAAAGTTCTAATTATAAGATAAAAGCATCTGTTATTTTACTAGGTATACGGAGGTGATGCCCATTTCGACGATGCAGAGACGTGGACTATCAACTCCCGAAGGGGAACTAATCTATTCCAGGTAACATAATTTTTGCATATTAAGTGTTTTCTCATACTGAATATAGGTTAATAAAGTTACGAATTTATAGTAAATTGTAATTTTATCAAGCAATTATACTTATTGCTTGGTACTCAAATTCCACCGGACTCAAAATCGAATACGCATTTTGAGTACAATTTTAAGTACATTAATTGCAATAAAATACCATAATATTAACATAAATAAATAGTATTTAAATATCAGTAAATATTAAAATTTAACTGTAAATCCACTTTATAGATATATTTATTTTTATTATTATATAATATGTGACTCATATTTATAATAAAGTATGATATTTGAAGAGAATATTGCATTTTGTAATTGTCTAAATTGGGTGAATCATAATGTGATTCATATTATTACAGTATGTCTTCTATGTACATATGTATGTGTTTCTTGAATAGGTACAGGATCTCTGGATAGAAAATATTAAGGAACTAAGATAGAAACAAGTTCTATCTTAGTTTTTTGATATCAGGCAGGATTCTCTACCCATGAAATTGAACATTTAAAAAAAAATAGAACCAAAAAGACATAAAATTTCTAACCCTTTTAAAACTATTAGTATAATAATAATACAGTCGTGTTTCTACCGTAAAGCGGATGTATTTATGTAGTTGTATTTTAGTTTTAAAAATGGGATACGGCAGTGAATATTCAAGGCACGGAAGTACAACACCTTCGTCCTCAGGAAAGACAAACAATGAGGAGTGTCATGAGTGAAACAGTGTATTCTGTTATGTCTATGGTACTGATCATATTTATACACAATGCCTATTATTTTTCATAAGTTGGGCTGTCAGCTTGTTTGCTTTTCTAAGTTTCATAACAAATAAAGTTATACTCCGTGTATAATATAGTAGTATATTACTATGTAGTAGTTATATACTCAAAAAATTGTGGCCTTTGATTCCTTACTACAAGAACACACCTAAATGACGCTAACAATTTTGATTTCAATATGAATAAATTTTGTCAATGAATAAGTACTTGAGAATTTTACGTGACAAAAACAAATACAAGCCAGAATAGCAATCACGACCTAAAAATGACTAAATCGGCTATCGGTTTATTCTGGTATCACTTTAAATATTAGGTAGTATATACTCGTATACAGCTTATGTGGATTGACTTTGTTGTTTGTATTTATATGAGATCATTGCGACTAACGCTAAGTACCGTATCGCGTAAAGAGGTTAAAAGGTATATAAGACATATTGAGCATTCGTAATGGCATTTTTGTTATTCATGATCTTTACTTTAATACAAATGGCAGTAGATATGTTTGTATCCTATCATGTAGGTTTCAATCAATAAATATATTTCCAAATTTGATGTTGCAGTACATTCCATTGTTTTATGATGACTATAATTTAGTTAATATAATATATTAGATTATGATTTTCATATTTTAATAATATTTATATAAAAATTATGTGCTACCCGGATTAACTATAAACATATATTATTCATAAACCCTTATAACATACAAAAATGAATGTTTTAACTCCGTCACCAAATTGATTTTTTTATAACCTATCAATTAATGCGAAAGTTCGTAACGATGAATAGATGGATGAATATTTGTTACTCTTTCATAAAAAAATTACAAAACAGATTTGAATTAAATTTGCTACATAGGTAGGTTACATATCTCCTAACTTAGCACATAGGATATGTAGCAATTTACGCGGGTGAAATCGCAGGATACAATTAGTATAAAATATAATAACGAAAATTAAATTTAAATTTTTAGGTCGCAGCCCACGAGTTCGGTCACTCTCTAGGTCTGTCCCACAGCGATGTTCGCTCTGCCCTTATGGCTCCGTTCTACAGAGGCTACGACCCGGCATTCCAGCTCGACCAGGACGACATTCAGGGTATACAGGTAAGGAAGACGAATTCCTAACGTTAACGTTGTGAAAGTTTTATGTTTAAATATTTTTATTGAATAGAGTTAAAATCTACTTGGTTATAAAAAAAAAAGAGTTACATATAACATCGCTTTCTTCATTTCAAAGGGCTTGATATTAATTTAATACAAAACCGGGTTGGTTACTAAAAAATACAAGGCAATTTTAATTTGGTTAGCTGGGGATGGATTTAAGCATCCTAATTGTGATAATTATTATAGGGCATGCGAATGAAGTTACAGACACAGCTAGTATATGTTAATACTAAATGGTATTAAGGGTGAAATATGGTACAGATTATGCCTCTGTACCTTAGTTCTCAGGTGTAAGATGATGACACTATGTTGTCAATAGTGTTTTTTTATGTTTTTAAGCAAGTTTAATTACTTCCCATCAGGTAATCCGCCTGCTTGTTTGCAATTTTAAGTTGCATAAAAAAACTACATAAAGTAGCTATTGTAAATTTCGCTGTAGGCGCTGTACGGCCGCAAAACGCAGACGGACATCGGCGCAGGCGCAGCGCCCGCGCCCGGGCCCGCGCCCGCCACGCCGCGCCCCACCGCCGAGGACCCCGCGCTCTGCGCCGACCCTAAATTCGATACGATCTTCAACTCTGCCGACGGAGCTACATTCATCTTCAAGGGTATCATATTTTGCTTTTTTTTTTGTCTTAAATACGCAATAATCATTCTGGTGTCAAGGGTTACTAACCCGTCTTACACGCACGATTACAAGAAAACCTCTAATTGCGACTTACCGGACGATGACTTCACGTGCTATCCGAGACACGAAGGAGTGGATAAATATTTTTTTAAATAATCCACCATACACTGTTATAGCTTTATAATAGGTAATATTCAAAACTCAAAAGACAATTATGTAGTACTTTAATGTAAAACTTGTTTTTTCAATTTGAATAAAAAAGATTAGGAATATGCATGTAATTATTAACTTTAAAAGAGTTTTTGTTTGTTTATCAGGCGATAGTTTTATTAATACAATTTGATTATTCTTTTGTAACCGCACAATCCAGTCGCTTATCTGTGTGGATATACATTATTCGTATACCAAATTTAATTCAAATTCAATTAGCCGTTTAAGCATGACTGTTTAACAGACATCCAAATATAAAAACATGTTTTAAAACTTTCATATGTATGATATCAGTAGGATAATATAAATATTTATACAGGCGAAAACTATTGGCGATTGACTGAGGACGGCGTGGCAGCCGGCTACCCTCGCCTGATCTCCCGCGCGTGGCCCGGCCTACCTGGAAACATTGACGCCGCGTTCACATACAAAAATGGCAAGACATATTTCTTCAAGGGCTCCAAGTACTGGAGATACAATGGACAGAAGATGGACGGTGACTACCCTAAAGAAATTAGTGAAGGTAATTAAACAAGATATATTTAAGTTTTAATGTAATTTTTAAGCAATTTAGTATGACAAACAATCTGATAGTCCTTTTAATGTAAAGTGGTAACTATCGCCTATAGACATGAACAGTTTCCGAAGTTTTCCCTAGTAACTACAGTATGGAGTTCTTCAGAAAGGATATATACAGGGTTCTTCAGTGTCGGCAACGTGCACGTGATACCCCTAGTGTTGCAGGCGTCCATAGGCTACAGTGACCATTTACCATCAGAAGGGCCGTATGCTTGTTTGCCACTTTTATGGTATAAAAAAAATAGCATAGTGGTATGATGTCCAAATCACAAAATACCTTGTCACAATATTTTAAAACCATTTTGAGGTTTAAAAATTATTGTTATCAATAAATTACTACAACGTGTAAATTATAGTTCTAATCAGTGATGTCTTTTATGCTAAAATATTAATTTGTAAAGTAGGTATACGCAAACCAAGTAGTGACAATTGTTTATATACCTACCTAACCATAGAAATCATGTGATACCTAGTTTCTGAATAATGTGCGCACAGATACGCGTAATCGTTGAATTTGATGTTTTATCTGTGTATTTATTTCATAAATCTTTATCAATTAATTGAAGAGAAATCCTGTTCCTGATTGGCATATATTTTTAAAACTTATATCCACCTATTATACTGTAACTGCTAATATGTGTGTATATGTATTAAATTAATGTACGTACAAGTACATACATAGCTACATACAGGATTCCTAAGTAATGAATTTTTTGTTGTTTAAGACATTACTCAGACAGAGCACATTATACGTCCCATAATAATAATGATAAATGCCCTAATAAACGTGTTAAGAGTGCACAAACAGTTTGATGCAAATACTGCGGGGGCATTTAAATATTTGAGTGACAACAAATCCCACGACGCTAAACGACCTCTGCGGGCATTTTCACTCGTTTATCTTCAGTCAATATTAACAACAAGCTCTCCGCTGCATTCGTAATGGAGTTCGGGCCGTAGTGCAATTTAGAATGACGCATTAAATATGTCGAGGAAAACTTTGCAAAACAACAAGGAAAACGAATTCTAGCAAAAAAATAATTATGGCTTATATATGGTGCACTTATTATTGTGGCTAATGCCGTGTAATTTTCATATTCTAATACCTTGAACTCCTTTTTTATGCCACGTTGTACGGGTGGTTTTCATAACTAGTTGCAAGATGCTGATGGTTCACCTGATGGAAAGTGGTAAAAGTCACCTACGTACCATACGTGAACTGTAGGGCCCTTATGTATTGCCTACTGCTACTTATGTATTCATATTACCATTCCTGGGTTAACTGCCTATTCCTCAATATAAACTACCCCTATAAAGGGGGGGGGGGGGTTGCTATTAGTTGCCACGCTTGTCAGGTGGATTGGCCATAGCAGTTAGGTTTTTAGTGATGTTTTAAGACAACCGCTTCTGCGTATCCCTCTACCATTAAGTTTCCTTAGTCGTCTCTTACGACACCCTGTACCAGCCATGCAAACGACTTTTGTTTTTTCCTATGTGAATTGTATGACTAGGTTAATTAATTGTATAATCGTAATCAATTACACGGTTGTTTGGTTGTAATTTTAGTTGTTGATAAGTATCTATTAATTTAAATTACTCAAAATAAATTAGTTTTTACCGCTAATTAGCTACGTAAGATTTTCCAAATTCATTATTAATTTCCTTTTTTTAATTTATAAATTGGTTACTATTATGATACAAATTTAAAATAAAAATTGCATAATATAATGCAACTTTTAATTTGAATAGAATTAGTTACAGAATTACGTTACACAGACAATGTAAGATAATGTGAAAGAAATTTATTAGTTTTGGTTATATAGCGATTTAATATAAATAAAATAAAAATACTTTTTTATGATTTACCGTTTGATAATTGTGGATTCGATAACAGCACGATACAAAAATTAAATAATGCTATTCGGTTTTTCAAAATCTATTCAATATGAAGGTAGCGTTTATTTTCAGTTTGTACTAGTCTTTTTTAGCCGTGTAGGTCCCGGCATAGAATAGGCCACCCCTTAAAAGGCGACGTAAGGTGTCGTAAGAGGCGACTAGGGGAGATTATGGTCGTGGGATGGGCAACAGGGTGTCTATTTAAACACTATCAAAAGTCAAACTGCGGTTGCCAGCTCGCCTGCCAAACGTGGCAACTACTGACAAAATCCTCTTTGTTCAGCAGTGGACAGTTAATGGCTGATACAATACAATACAAGACAAGCCTTTTACTTAAACTTTCGGTTCATTACCCTTTCGTTTAAAGCGCTCTCCTTTTTCAATGCCACTTATTATTTTTTATATATTACATGTAAAATATAAAAATGTATTTTATTCTACTAGACTTCTATTTAATTAAAGTTCTATTTAACTTGTAACTATATAGTGCTATGTGATATATCCAGTGACATTTAATTCGCGATAATATAACTTAATCATACTTCTTCTTTAGGTTTCAGTGGCATCCCTGATAACTTGGATGCGGCACTGGTATGGTCTGGCAATGGCAAAATCTACTTCTACAAGGGTTCCAAGTTCTGGAGGTTCGACCCCACCAAGCGGCCGCCCGTCAAGGCCACTTACCCCAAACCACTCTCCAACTGGGACGGTATTCCCGACAACATCGATGCTGCCTTACAATATACGAATGGATACACTTACTTCTTCAAAGGAGGATCCTACTGGCGGTTTAACGACAGATCGTTCAGTGTAAGTGTTATTTGCATTTTTTTTGTAAACGACTTCAAAAAAGGAATCATTTCCATTAAGTTTTTTTTTTGTGTGTAATTAAATTACGTTACTTGTCAATTGTTTGATTATTAGGTATTTCTTAATCAGAAGAACTTAACTCCGTGATAGTGTCCTACAAAATTTGTAAAATCCAAAGTTTTTTGTAAAGTTATATGATAATTAAATCAAAGGAGCACAAGAGAAATGTTTCAAGAATATAAAGAACCTGAGTCCAATCAATGTCATACTATATAAAAAAGAGAAATCCAAGTGTAATCGAAATTTGCTTTATTTGTGATGCAATAAAGAAATAAATTTCAATAATTTATAACTAAAATGTATCTAATCAAATAAAAGGTGTAATATTTGCAAAGCTACAGTTAAAAGACATAATGCCAGTTGAAACTTTTGTAGCACCAACATATATATATATATATATATATATATATATCGATCGGACTGTAGGCAAATTGTTATTCATTAATATTATATTTTTATTTACTTTTATTATTTACATATGTATGTGTGTAGCCGTTTTTAATGTATTATATGTTAAATTTTTTACTGGGTATTATTTACTTTATCTGTACGGTTCCCCTTGTACATTCTAGTTTTCTTTCAGCTTCTTAAATGTTGACTGTAAGAGATCCCTTTATGGGATATGTATTCTGTATGAATTATGTACAATAAAGATTTTACAATACAATAATTCAATGGATGTTTCTTTAATTAATGTAGGTGGACGTAGACAACCCAGCGTTCCCGCGGTCGACCGGCTTCTGGTGGCTGGGTTGCAGCAGCGCACCGCGCGGCACCGTCGGAGGTAACGCACAGATCAAGTCGCCTCGCCCGCAGGACGACGACGACGTCGGAGAGATCCTCTTCGATGCAGGTAGGTTCCGGGGCCCAGAGCGTGCGGTAGCTGTTTAAAAATATACAAATATAATCAAACATTCCAACTCAATACGGTATTGCTCAATTTAATGATAAACGTGCAGTGTTAGTCGATTATGCACGGGCTTTTTAATAACCATCTAATTTCAGATATAATACATTTAAAACATAATGTTAACAGAGATTTAAAAGAGTAACTGTTAAGTTTCTTGCGAGGTCTTCACAATGGATAACGACTTTCTGAACATTGCAGTAGATTAAAAAAATTACTATTTAAAGGTGCTTGTAAACAAGTTTGTTTGAATAAAGATTATTTCAAATGTGAATTTAATCCGGGTAGTGTTTCGAGTTACCGAGAGAATGACGTCAAGTTGATATCACATATGTCGCCATGGATACATTATTGCTTATTACTCACTTATAATCCAGGATTCATTTTAGAGTCACATATAGAATGACATCAATTTTCGAAACGAAAATAATGTTTTAAAAAATGACGTCATTTTTTAGTCATTTTAGGATCGCGACTTTAATGACTAAGGACTGATGTTGACGTCCTTTTTGAAACACTGACGTCACCGTATTACCTGAGAAGTAATATCACTAGTTATTAAATGCTCAAACTATGTGTAGTTAAAAAAAAATAAAAATAAAAAGTTGTAATTGAAATACATATAATAAATAAAGAGCCTGTGATATCAAATAAACAAGTTTTCTTGTTGACAACTTCATGTCAACGAGGTGCAAAATGTAAGAAATGGAATTATTTATTCAATTTTAAAATTGAAATTTAAGAAATAATAGTAAAGGTTTACTTTGAGACTGAAGTCATACAAAATAATAGAATTATTTAGTCCATTATATTGATATCATTATAAATATTAAATATATATAAATAGAAACGAACATGAGTTAATAAGTGAAATTGAGCAATATCGAAAAATATTGTTTCACTAATGTGAAACTTGCAATAATATAACAGCTACCCGTTATTTGCAAAGATCGACAGAAGGGCAGTCATCGTCCGTCGCCAGCTCTACTATTCAATGTCCAAACTTTTGTGTGTACTTCCCTTGTTCCGTAAACCTTTCATTACTATTAGTTTAGATCTGATCGACCCTTCGACTTGTCTCATTACGTGGCTTATTGTTATGTTGTGCACTTGTTCTATGTGTTATTTCTTTTCGATATTTTTTATTTTCTGTGTCATTATTTGTTGGATTTTATTTACTATGTCGATGTCGTTATATTAATTGTAATTATATGAATTTTGATTTGGGATAATTTATAAGTGCACTATTATATTTCTGTGTTAATTTATTGACAAGTTTTTAATAGTGTTAATTGAATTTTATTTTTCTCCACCAAATCAAAATTCTTTTTTGATACGTTCTTCTTATGTTCTATAATATAAGTGCTAATTTTCATATTATTATCATATTTATTAATTTTATACGTTTACTTAACTAACTTACCAATCATAATTTTACCTTTTTTTAAAACAAACTAACTGTACTAACAAAATGGCGAAGTGGATTAACAGAATGCTATATAACCATTTTTGGGAATTTCGTAAATATATTAAGAGCCGTTATTGAAATTCCATAAAATGGCGATTTAAGGGTGATTGTGGTATACCTTATACAAAAAAGAATTCTCTATCTAACGCTTGCTGGTTCAATACTAACTGTGTATGGACAAGAGTGGTGTAGGCGAAGCAGTGGCAAACGATGGACGGTGCTAGAACTTCGATGATGTGGCTTCTGGGCGCCTACGAACCTATCTGCTGGTATTGTATTAAAAAATTGTGTAAAATTCAAAAAGTTAAAAAGAACAAAATTCAAATTTTATTAACATTAAATTTAATTACTAAAATTGTATTGAAAAAAAAATCTCAGTACACGTTCATTCTATTAAAAGAACGAACTTTTAGTTCCACCTTTAGAAAAAAATAAAACTCAATATGTTTATCACTAAATCACAATTTTTTAAATACAATAAACGTAAACATACAATACAGACTTTATTATTACACAGTATACTTTTTAATTTAATGATTGATATTGAACAAAATAAATAGTCGCTTTGTTTTGTCAAATATGAATAATTGTACAAGCAAGCACATATATCACTAGATACCACTATGATAAAAAATATCACTTACCATTTGGCCGAACCAGTGAAACTTCGTTAATCTCTATATCTGTGTACAATTATGATTAATATGTACAATATTGGTTTAACGAATTTTATTGGCGGCCAATAGTTGATTTTGATAAAATAGCACTGTGTTGGCACAATATATGATAATAATGTTGCACCAAACATATATACGTCGCTACTAAATGTCACACCATTGCAATCAAGTGTATAAACAATGTTTAATCATTACCAACATGTGTGAAGCAAGGGGTGCCTGGTTCACGTTTCTATGTGTGTGTTGTGTGTTTTTTTCTAGGTGTAAAATCATCCGCTCCAAGGTCATTCTTCTGGTTCAGGAAATAGCCTCGGTGGAGAGTTCCTGAACATTGTATATAGAGAAATTGCATAAAGAACAAAGACTCAATTAGTTACTAGGAGAATATATGTGAATACCAGGGAGATTATAGACATAAGCGGTGATTTTAGTACCGGCGAGCTTATCACACGCTGCCTGTACGTTCTATTTCATTTCACCTATGTCGTATGGTTACCTACTGCATGCTATTTACATGCTTGGTGCTGGAGTCATGCAAATGCTTCCTAGATTGCACTATGCTTAATCTTTATTAGTAATAATGCTCGCTTTAAAATAACAATCATTATGGCATAAGGCATTCATTATATCCACTGTAGGAAAATGTGATTAGGTCTCACAATAATATTTGACGTTAGTATGGTAAACTTAGTGGTTGGGTATTTTAAGCTATTTAGTTATAAAAAATATGCAAATATCACATTTGCACAGTAGAGGTTTTTGGGTTGCGGTCATATAAATTTTTTATGCTTTAAAGTTATGATCGGTTTTTAGATGTACCGAAGAATACGATAAAGGTATTCGTGTTGAGGGTATAAACATCGTGACGTAACAACGTAAGACATGAATTGTTTTATTATGTTTTATGGATGCACTATCCACTTGGGGAAGGCGAGTTTCGTTAACCATAATAATTTGGAAAGGTTCATTTGACCATGACCAAATAATATCGATTCAAATGTAGTTTTAGAGCGTATTGTTATTATTTAGAATGTCACTAACACAGAAATTTCGTGCATGGATTTTATTACACACAGTATATCCGTTTATTTTAATTGCGTCATTATAACAGAAATTCTTGACAATATCACGAAAATATATATAATCATATTTAATATAAACTATGCAACTTGTATGATGAATTTTGTGATAACATACGAGTGACAGTAACGTAGGTAATTATGTGTTGCATGTGTAATTAATTGAACGTAGTTATACAATGATAATGTATATAAATTTTATTGTATTACTATATAGTAGTTAGTATGCACAACAGGTTAAGGGCCCGGTTGAGGTTGATAAAGAAACCTTGCTAAAAGCAAGTTAATGTTTCAGTGGTCAGCGTTCAGTCAAGCGGGGCTAGACTCTAGTATGCGTACACTAGTGGCTCCTGCCGCTACGTATTCATTAGGAGGGCTCGATACGTCCTCCGCCGCGTCATCGCTCACTCACATCTGTAGGTTTATTTCCATTTTCATTTATTACCCTTTCGTAAACTTCCATACCAACTATATCTTTTGTTTTTAATTTTTGTTACGAGCAAAGGTATATTACGAAGTGTTGTTTGCTTTGAATAGGTACATTATGTGAATGTCGTAAATCATAATATTTGTTTAGTTTTATTGTTTGCGCAGACGAACGACAACCCCTAAACATTTTTATTCGTCAAAATAGAGTACATAGAATTTCATTCCAAGACATACTTGATTGTAAACACGTGGCTTATGTAAGAAGGAATTTTATCCTTTGTCCTTCATCTGCGCATGCTCTTATCACAATCTTTTAATTAATTGTCGTTGTCTAATTTTTTTTTGTCTAGAGAATGTTTGTAAATCACAATAGACCACGGAAAGCACAATAGCACAATGTTATTTTATTAAACTGTTGTAATCTATCGTTAATTTTTAATATTTGGTTGTATGATGTGCAGATGAGGAAAACTCAGAGCGCAATAAGGGTGGCAATAGCGCTTCAAGCGTATCCAGCGGCGCTCAGATGACACTCGCGCTAGTGCTGGCGGCGCTGAGCGCGCGGTGGACGCGGCGCGTGTAGCGCAGCGTGCCCGCCTGCACGCCCCCCGCCCCGCCCCGCCCCCTCCCCCCTGCGGCCCGGTGTCCGGTGTCCGGGCGCCGGCAGCTGTCGGCCTGCGGCATGCCGCCCGGACCGCGTCACCGACTGTGATCGTGTGTTGTGTGCGTGTGCGCGTTCGGTATATTGTGTATAGCGAACGCTCTGCTGTGATGACGGATGCGTCCTTTTTATACTGTTGCAAGAACGATAATTTATATCGAAGAAGTCATAGTTTTTATACTTAATATAAATAGATGATGTAAGTTCGAGTGTGATATTGATGTAAGCGACGATTTTTGTATTAAAATATTTAATAACTATTTGGACATTTTACTGAAACTCTATACACAATTTACCTTTATTTTTATACTTATCGATATATTGGATAGATAAAATACTATGTCACTTGTATGTGTATAAAATGAACAAATCATAAAATAAGGTTAAATTACAACATGTATCAAAAAAATTATGAAAAAGAATAATATAAATATATAAAAAAGGTCGGCTGGCCAAGTTGCCAGTAACATTCCAACCGAAGTAAATGAGACACATTATGTATTTTAATCGGTTTATTTAACGTTTTTCTGGTTCTCCAATAATTCCTCTTAAGTTAGTAATTACAAGTTTATATGACAATATTTTTCGTTTTTATTCCATTTTCATAAACGTATTTTTTAATAAACATCTCCATAATTCATCATAACACGGTCGTGCGACCTACTGTCTCAATCGTTCTAACTCTTAGGAAAATGCAAATAATATTAAATTTCAAAATCTGTCTACGATTATTCGAACGTGATTAATCTTATTTCGAGTGTCGAACGATGTCTACATGCGGGGCGCGGGTGCGGCGAGCGGCGGCGGGCGGGCATTCAGGCAATCGTGCTACGCCGCTACGGTCGCTACGATGTAGCCGCGCCGTAGCATCGTAACTCGTGCCGGCCCGCCCTAGCACTCGCCCGCGACCCCGCACCGCACACTAACAGAGTTATATTCATTTAGAAGGCGTAACATAAGACTTATTACACGATCACTACTCGAGAAACACCTACGACACATCCTAGATCATATCAATATATCGGAGCCCCGCGTGCTTGTGGCAGTGTGCGTCGGCGCCGCGACCCGCGCCGTTGCGCCGACTTGTGCTTACAGATTTAAATATTTAGAGTAAAGATTTTACACTACGCTACCTCTCACTATGAATTAGGCATCTTTAATGATATAATTTATAATTTTTAAAAATACATCAAGCAGTCCTCAGGAAAATTTGACAAACTCTTGAATTAATTACATTTTTAGTGCATTACAAATTATATTATCTAAAATAATATTTCGTACATTATGTATGCCTGTAAGTCCTCGTAATCATATATTTATATGATCTAGAACTAATTAGGAATAGTGGTATCAACACGATGCTTGAACGACATCGTCCTAGAAATAAAAGTTCATTCACGTCAACCACACATGAATTCATTGTTTATATAGTATAAAACGTACTGTGAGAAAGTGTCCTTCAATGTAACTAAACAAATTATTTATATAACGATGGCTGGCTACAGCTGGATACTAGGTCCAACATAATTCTATCAAAATAACACAAAACATTTATATTTAAATGGAAATAACACTAATTACATACATTATATTTATACTAATTTATGAACAGACACTTGAATTAAACATGTTGCAGAATTTAGAAAAATCCCTTATTCAGCTACCGTATATTCTAAGAGTATTAAACTCAATTAAGTGTCGATTCGTTAGTAAAGTTTAACTACAAATATTTCGCAACTGAATTGGGATAAGTGATTTTTTTTCCTACTGTGAGTAACACCAAATTTTCGATAATAATAATTATAAGTAATAACAATAATTTAATTCATAGCCAAAGTGTAGATTTTTCTAAATTTCTGTAAGTATCAAATACACACTTCAAAATTAAACTGTTGCAATAATTCGATAAAAGCAATAGTAATTATTCCATCGACTACAATTAAAATATTTTAAGAGAAACTTTCGGGGTTGAATTATGAATGACATGGTAAAATTTCTTATAACTTATGGGTATGTTTCTTTAAAACAACGTAACAAATAGTATAATACCTATTATTATTATTATTATGTATCTGATTCATCATAAGACATTTATACAGATCATTTGTTATCCTATGTTACTAATCACTTTCCACTAAACATTGGTAAAAGTGAAGGCCATGCAGAACTATTGTTGACTGTACTTATCTCACTCCATGTGACATAGATTGTGTGAAAGAAACCGTAAATAGTCAAATTGAGCCTAGATATGTTTTAATATTATATGGTACGACATATTCTAAACTGAAATCGTTAGACAAATACTGTGATAGGCAGGCATACTTGTAAGGTGCTCAGATGAATATTAGCATACATTATTATGATTATGAAAGGTTTCATAACCTTTCGTAACCATAAAAGCACATTATGGTTATGAAAGGTGAAAAACCTTTCATAACCATAATGTGCATACATAGTATTCAATGCGTTAAATAATTATTTTGTAATATAATAAGAAAACCGCAGCCTGCTTGCTTGATAAAATACAAGATAACTCACACTGATTCGTAAAGGAAATGCTAGGCAATAATGATACTTTGATTATATATAATGTACACGTATAGAAAATAAATGGTGCCCTGAAGGTATATTGTATCCTGATATAATAGTTCTAATCACATAGTGAGTTTAATTATATCCGATTCCAGTTAGCAGGACATTTTATGTAGTTCTCTTCCAATGCTCTGTATTATTATGTGTCAATAAATTGAGTTATCTTTTTATTCTAAAACCATTTTACTATTTAAATACACTGACATAAGTTTATTGAGCGGCTTTTCTGATGACGATAAAAATGCACAGCATATTTTCGCCGCGCTATTTTTTCCAATAGTGTGTAGTTATAATTCATATTACACGACATAATTGTGCAGAAAAAATTGCACGAAGAAAATTCGCAGTGCGGGTTAATCTAAAGTTGAATTAAATCAAACATATAATTGTGCTACATGCAGTCGACATCCGTGTAAATAATTCGTTGTTCCTCATAGTAATGTGTGATATTAGTAATATACAGGCATCTACGCACGGCACGATAACACATCCGATAGCTATGGCCAATTTGACGGGTCAGCTGCTAATCAGCACCAGTGGAGGATAGTAGACTTGTTGAAGCAGGCTAACATAGTTTCTACAAGTGAACTATCCTCCGTCTGTGTCAGTATGTGTCTATACCAGGTCGGTAAATGCTGAATGCAAAACTGAAGGCAAGTATACCGGGGCCTCATTACATATATCGCGAATAGTTTGCGATAACTGAAAATTGCACGATATTTGCTATAATCCTAATTTTTTACTTATTTCGTATTACTGTTATTTACTAAGATAACGATTAGTGAGCAAACATAGATGCTGCTTCTTTAAAGCAGTTTAGGTATTAAAATTAAATTACGTGCACAAAGTCGTGTAGGTCCCGGCACAGAATAGGCCACCCCTTTATTTTCCGTGGGTGACGTAAGAGGCAACTAAGGAGGCTTATAGTGAAGGGATGGGTAGCAGCGTCCCTCCTAAAACATCACCAAAAGCCGAACTGCGGTTGCCAACCTGCCTACGTGCGTGACAACTACTATCAAAACCCTCCTTATAGGGGAGGCTACGTTCAGCAGTGTACAGTTAACGACTACAATACAATACTATTACAAATTAGTTATTTTAGACTTAAATGATGCTATTTGTCGGTGAACAGAATGCCTATTTAACCCATCTAGTTAATAAAGCAATCTAAGTACGTAATATTATTTTGTGACAATCAACAAGGTTCCCGCAGTGTTTGCTGTTATAGAGAATTAGCTCACGATCCTAATCTATTTAACCGATCGAATGTGCATCGTGTGTAAAGTTGTGTCGTGTGTAGATCCCTTATATGTATATTTGTGTTTCTCTTAGTAGATTACGCAGACAAAGGACATTTTATCTGTGTCAAAAATTCTCTCGATATTTTCCCAGGTATTTTAAGGCGTACATTTCAGTCCTGTCTTAACAGAACACCTACAACGCACACGTCTTTTGCAAGTAGGTACGCTGCTTATACAGTGTAAAATTTTCTCATGAATAAAATATCCATCGTCTGCGCAGACCCTTACACTTTAATACCACAGACAAAACATTTGTAATTAAGTAGCAACTTTTAATCGGCAGTATTCATATAAGAAAAAATATGTTTTATTTTATAAAAAAATATCGATATCAACATGGTCGTGGACATGTACCTATAGCTCTGTTATTTAGATATTATTATTGTTGTACATAAAAGGCTAACATTTGGTGTTTTCCTTACATTATTCTATATTGAATACTATATCGTGAAATACGGATATAAACGATGGACGACCCCGAAAGCGATTTCTCTGTGTTTTGTGCGTGCATGTGACAGTCAACTGAGTTGCTGTATAAACTTAATGGAAACAACATATAATTCCAAACAGTACAGCTAGTTAAATCCTTCTTTATTGGTAAATTTACAATAAAAATGGACTCATCGAGTTCGTGCCGCCACAAACTAAGTGGTATTGTAAAACGCAAATGAATACAATAAAGTGTATAATTTATAAGTAATAATCAATAAATGAACAAGATCACAGCAGCAGACGGCGTACAGAAGTTTCTAAGTTCGTATCTCTAATCAATTACTTCCCAGTTACAGTTTACAGCTAAATACATAAGTTTTCGTACACTGCTTTACATAATCAGCTTTCTTGTTCATATTATTTGTGCGTTAAACATTTACACTTTATTTATGTACATCAAAACATACGTATATTATTCAAAAACATAATGTACACACTATCATCAAACGTTCAACGAAACATTAAAATACACCCGTGAGACTATACCTACAGAAAGGGCACGTGTTGCAAAATTTACGTGTTACGACCTGCGAGCGCGCTGCACGCCGACCACAGAGGCCGAGCGCCAACTACCACGGGAGGCCGGGGACGACCATGGAAGGCGCCGGCTCCACCGACAACGACATTAGTGGGTGCTCGTTACGAGCTCGAATCACTCATGGATAACTTGTGAACTCTACATGATTAATCAGTTATTCACTACGTATTATTGCTAAATTTGTGTCCCTACGAAATGAACGTTCACAAACAAATATTTGTTTGGAAATTGACCAGATTTTTTTTTTATATAATATCTATATGAAGTTTTAGGATCTCTATGCGGTATGCAGAAAATGGAGGTGCTGCGAAAGTATAAAATAATTTGTACTGAAATCTGAATACATCGCAGCTCTGTAATGAACGTTTAGGTAAATTGAACAGTAGATACAAAAGAAAAATATTGTTTGTATAAACAACATTCGAACCGAACTCCTCTCCTTTGGTCTTTTAATATCTACTCTAGTATAGAATAGTGAACGAGTGAAGATATCAAGAGTATAGAGTTGAAACACCCACAAAGAAGGAATGTACGGTCAATGTGTAAGTTTTAACGAGTGCTCGAAATTGTTCCAATTATTTTTATGTTCTAGTAATTCATTTTCTATTACTAAATTTTAGACACCTTGATAATTAATTTATACATAGATACACGTAGATATCGCGAAGGAGGCCCTAGAGAGCAATGAAATACCTATTATACTAGTCTGCCCTTGATAGGTAGCTATAAAACGTAAATTATTATTATTCATATTTACTTGACAGAAAAATTTTGGTATAACATTCCACTTATATATAATTCAATACAAATATTTTATATCGAACAGAAAAAAAATGAGATATTATACAATAATAAGTTTATCCATGAGTTAATGCATTTTCAATAATTAATGTATTTATTGGTACAATATTGTAAACAATCCACTTGGAACTTTATTGTAAACGATTCGAACCCTAATACCTATTTTAAATTCTCTTGAAGAGACTATCACTATGATTTTCAATATTTAACTCTCTGAGATATTAGTGTATAATATTATTTCGAATTTAATAAGACAACACGAAGAAGAGCATCATAATTGGCGAAATAAAAAGAAATAATTGCTTATTTGAATGGAATAGGGACAATATAGTAATCCTGATGAATAGGTGCAAATATCCTTGTTAAGGGACGCTTTCACTTCAAGGAAAGTGAAGGCACTAGGGATCACGAGCGAATTAGATATTCGATTGAAACAATAACGACCGACTTATATCTGTTACGGTTCTGTCGACTCATGTTACATATATTTTTAGTATCTGGAGTGGAATGTTCTCTTTAAAATATTAGAAAATAGATGTTTATGTTCTGTTAACATAATGAGGGAGTAGATTTCGAGTGATATGATGATCGAAACACCGTTACGAAGTGTACCCTGTGTGCAAGGCAGCTGAGCGTGCCGTGCTTCAAGATGCCGTGTTTTGGACGACGCCGCTCGTCATCCACTGTCCCCTGCTCGCTGCCCGCCACGGCCGCGCCGCTCGCGAACTATTCACATCCATCATCAGACAGACAGACAGACAGACATATAGACCAGGTAGAAGTTAACAAAGTAAAAGACTTAAGAAGCAGTAATAGACCTTTAGCACCTTCGGTGACTTTGATTAAGTATGGGAGTGGAAACAACAAACCGTTTTGACATATGTACACGATAAAAACGTAAAAAATAACTTACTTAATATTATTATCATTTATCATTTGAATACAACAACTACATCCCCGCCTGAGGACAATATTCTCAACAAATGTCCATTCAATAAAGTCTTAATAACCATTAATTATATTTGTTTTCGATCACATAATGTTCAACGATACCTCTATAATTTAATATTTTTCAAAAATAAGACAAACTAACAAATACTGTTACCTATACATATGAGAACGACAATACTCATGTTGAAGGTTGCTTCATCATTATCATATACTCGACGCGATATACATATACAATAATATATATTAAAAATCAATTCATATAAAAATCATTTTCAACCATATTACATCTGCATTATATTGATTGATAGTTCATAAGACGGATATTTACATATAACTTTCATTATATGCATTAGTCATACTTCTTACAAAACAACAACTACTTTTAATTAATCCTATATTACTTTAGTCAATATTATATATAGACCAGCTATTTAGGCGCTCGCAGACGAAAGGATGCACGAGCGAGCGCGGCATAAAAATGTTGAGCTCGCCTCGTACGCGGCTGCAATCAAAGTAACCAATACTCCCCGCCCGAATTATACCTCCTTTTGTACCATGTCAACCGCTACCGCCCTCGCCCACATACTACTCGTCCGTCTTGTAATGCATCATTACAAAAATAAATCTCTAAAAACCCATTCCAATTGATGCTTTGCTATAATCAAAATTAAATTTTCACAATAATTTTTGTTCCGATGCCTGTTTCCATATTTTACTATTTTATTTCAAAGTTTTACTAACGCAACTATTTAATTGATGTCTGTCTTGTTTACATATGCTGTATACTGTTCGTATAAAAATTATCATCACACAAACTCCTAACACAAAGTACGCATCGTACGCACCTTTCATTTCAAAGTACTTTCAATCTTGACAATTTTGTTAAACATTATTTCTAAATAAATTACTTGTTGCTGAATTCAATGAACTCAGTTAAGGTATTGGGTGACTATGAATCACATCACGTAAACTGTAAAGTACTAATTAAAATATATATAACATCTTCACTTAAATTAAAATATCATGGGTTCGTTTACAATTCGTGCCGAAAATATTAACAAACTGGCCGGAACTTCGGCAAACAGCGCTTACGAGATAAAATGCATAAGTAATCATTTCTGAACATTTGGTGTTTCTATATTTCGGGTGTATCGAACATTCGGACACAAATATTAACTTACAGTCTATATCACCTACGCGCTCGCGGGGGCGGCGGCGCGGGCGCCCGCGATCCGGCTCCGCGAGTCGCGGGGATCATCGAACTCGTAACCGCGCGTAATTTATTATCATAAGTACAGCACTAATAGAAGTTCCGATCGCTGTCCGGCGATCGCGGGACGTGGGGGTGCGACGCACGTTAACGTAAAACTATAACCTTGAATCGCGCACATTCACTAGAGACGTGGCCGCTGTCCAGTGGGTCCGTGATTGCGCCACGAGTCCAAACAAGAGCGCTGCAACGAGGAGCGCGAGCTGGGATCGTGTGGAGGCTCGCAGCGTGGACGCCGCCGCGGGCGCCTGGTAGGGTACTGAGCAGGAGGGCACCCGCTCGTCGACGGGCGTACACCGCTCCGAGTCAGGCCGCGGCGCCTCGCTGAGCCTCGCCTCGCACCGGTAGCACAGCCGGCCCTCGCAGTACCAGTAGCAGCACTCATCCGACCCATAATTGGATTTGTTGGCCTGCGCACCAGTTTCCGGAATGCGCGGATCTGAAATTATCGTTCATTCAGCTTTCTATAAAAATTATAAATCTTACAATACCTATTTTTCAGTTAATAGGCAGGTAATAACAAAAATGTAAACTCTGCCTGCGTATATTTTTGTTATTACCTAATAACTACATTAAAGTAAATTTACAATAATAAAATAGTTTACAGAAACATTATTGACCTATTCACTGCTAAACATAAGCCTCCCCCATAGACTGCCATAAGGAATGGTCCTAAGCCACCTCCATCCAATGACTCTCTACAATATAATGCAGTAAGGAAATATAGAAATGGTTAAATGAAAGTTTGCAATAGTTGAAATAATCATAGTTAACTTTCTGATAATATTCTTTATTACATTAAAACAAGCAGAAATAATTACAATTAGAAATATGTAAGAATAGGTGAACTCTAAAAGAGATCTCTTCTAGTCAACTTAACACAGTGGCATAGGAAGTCGTAAGTGGACAGCAGTAAAGCAAAACAGATATTTAAACAACAATATGTATTTATAAAATTTACATAACATTACATCTATATATGCAATATATAATACTAATACATGTATACAATATATTTATTTTAATTAATTGGGGTCGGCATAATATGATTTTATTCATATTATTCAAGTTCTTGGCATTTGATAAGAAACATAATTTATTTTGTAAATCTCTACCGAATTTTTGAAAGTTGAAACTAAGTCACCTTATATTTAGGCAATAGTCGGAATGAATGTCGGAATTGATTCCTATAAAAAAGGATATTATTATACCTCATCCATAAATGTATAATTACATACTTAAATAAAAATAAATAAGATTATGTATATATTAAGAAATTCTTAAAGAACACTAATATAATATATGTCATTTTTTAAAGATCTGCGTTAATTACAATATAACGACCGAATACTTTTCTTTACAAAGCTACGAATTGGACATATATGCCAGCATGGTTATTTATTCAATAGTAAATTATATATTGTAACACAAAACCGTAAAACAACAATACCTCATAAAAATATCTATAGTTATTAAAGGAAAATGTAAACTACTGCAGCTAAAAAACAGAATATGCATTTGTTTTGCGCTTGCTATTTTGAACTGTAGCCAAGCGATAGGGAGCGAGTAATCATGGCTAATTCATGATCTGGGGAACCACAAAGCCTACGTAATCTCCGCAACCGCGCCGCAGGACTAGCAAAAACTGGCTCATAGTATTAATTTGCCTGTTTATATTCCGTCATTTAAGTATACGAATGTTATACATAGTATTTTATGTATTGTATAACAGACTAAATAAATGTCATAAAATAGGCATAAAATGAAATTTAACTAATATACATGAGTTGTTTGTAAAGATGTTCAGATATCTAGATGTTTTATGTTAAATTATGGCCTGTAATAAAAAAAATATTTAATAGAAATATCGATAATAACAATTAGCTGTCTATTTCATATAAGAAAAGCGGTAAATGAAGTTATATTTATTATCTATCTTCTAATACTCACATTTATATATTTATGTACCTCAACGTGTGAGTTCAACTCGCACCTGACCGGTTTTTATTTATTTGCTTATGATATCTTCAGTAATTCTAAATGGATTTTGATCGTTCTTTTTGTATGTTGGACAAATATTAATTTTGTCACAATTGAAGTAGTTTTTGGAAGGATAAAATTACCGTCTGGATTTCAATTTTTGCGTGAATTGGGAACTTCTTCGAGAACGATAAAATTCCTGATGTATTTATTCAAGAAACTGGTGTTTATAGACTTGAGTATCTATCTTATACTATACAATTAACGTGTTCTATTCTATTTTAATAAAGAAATAAGTAGTTGTTGTATCAACTAACTGTTGATAAAAAGGAAATGATTATATGCATATATACATATATACTGTTAATGTAGAGGCGATATGAAGAAGAACACAGATTGATAACAAATTATTTTTTGTTTATAATTATAAAATTTCCTCACCAAGGCATAGGAATGTGGGCTCGCCAGCGTACTGTGTAGGGTAGGCGGGCGCGCGGTCCGCCGGCAGGAAGTAAGGGCAGTTTTGCTCGACGAGCTGACAAACTGAGAGGCAGGGCTTGAGCCGTGCAAGGGGCCGGCCGGGGCCGGCGGCGGCGGCGCGGACCCACCGGCCGACCACGCCGCCGCCGGCGCTGCGCCGCCGGTCCAAGTGGCCGACGCGCTCTAAGTGCCGCGCGTGCCAGCGCGCCGTGTGCTCTGCGGGCGCGCGCCGCGACCTGCCCCCCTCGTCGTTACCATCTTCCGCACCTTCTTCCACCCAGAGTGGCACCATCGTACTGCACGCCCACCGTCGATACGTTTCCTGAAATTTACAATGAAATATTTGTTTAATGACATATTGCTAATGACTACAATAGAGTGATTTCAAAGAGATTTCACGCCGGCTGGTGGAAACCTCTAGTGACCGGGAGGCTGGTCTATACTTTGGCCAACGCATTTCCATAGCTATTCAGCGTGGAAATGCAGCAAGTCTCTTAGGTACCGTACCAGTTGGCAGTGATCTCAAAGATTTTTTTTATTTTTAAATATTTTTTTAAAGACTTGTTTTTAGTACATTGATACAGTGATTATATTTACATCTCTTTAAAACTGTTTAAACATATTTAATTTTTTTCAAGCAAAAATTTATGTATTAAATACATATTTCATGTCAGAAGTAATAGTTCAAAGGAGTTTTCAACGAAGATAGCAATAGACATTCTCAAGATAACATGGAAAATTGGATTATTTATGAGAATGAATCCCAATACCCAAATCCTACTAGATGTAGCAATAATCTCAAATAATGTTTTAGGGTCAATGGATAGCTCAATACCCTATTTTATAGCAATCTATGGAAGAAGTCTACATTCTGCAGACCAGATAAATGGCTCCAATGGTGATAACAAATCCAAAAAAAATTATATATAACAACAAGCATATCGTAAGTTTTTGTATAATAATAAAAAACCACTGTATTTATTATATAAAAAATTAAATATAAATATGTACGTAAATATTCCAACTAAACAGATACGAAGTAGATTTTTTTAAGAAAAGAGTCATTAAGAAGTAGTTTAAACCTAAAAGTCTTAGAAAATATTCTGGTCTATATAATATCTGAACATTAGAAAAATATCTTTGAACTGAAGCTAGTCGGGTGCGACAGCTGTGTCCGTTTGACCCTTCTCACTTTTATCGTTATTCAGCATTTTTCACTCCCGCAGGAAATCACGCCGCTCACTGAGGCAGTGATTAATTAGTTATCAAGCTGCGTGGTGCGCCACATGCACGCAACACCGTGCTATAAGCACTTTGTTAAAAAAGCAGCACCGTGATAACAAGATGGGCGTTGTACAACATGGGTCCTTTGTTCAGCTCCAAACAAGGACTCATTGTTGGTAATATAAAGAAAAATCTTTAAAACATAATATAGATTTCACTCATGATTAACTGATATCTATATAGGTTACGAATAACAATGACGTGTTATCGATTTTTAAACAGATAAAAATAATTATGATGCATATCACAACGAAATTACAGAATATGAAGGCATTGCTTCCTCAGGAAGGCCAGCACATGAAAGGTGGGAAGAAAGGGACTGTTAGTAATGGACACTGAAAATCTCATTGCTAGCAATATACCCAACCAGGGCGACCTCTATGCGATCTTGCGATGCGATATATCTTGGTCAATTCCTGACAATTTCATCATGATAAGCTAACTAGCCTGTTTTCGTTTTCATCTATGGTACTTATTCGTGTCCCGCCAGTGTATACCGTTAGCGCAAGCGGGGTGTGCATTCCATTTTCACCATTAAAAACACATGAAAGGTATCATGGACGTTACAATATACTCAGTGATATCTATCTATAGCGACATCTATATAAGTAAAAAAATTATAATTAAAAAAATCATCAAAAATTGTAATGTTTTAGAATACAAATAACACCAATTTTTTTTTATACAACTTAGAATGGCAAACAAGCTGACGGGCCACCTGATGGAAAGTGGTAACCGTCGCCTATAGACATGAGCAGTACTATGGACATAACAGAGTATACTGTTTTGCCCATAATACCCCCCATGCGTTACTATTCCTGAGGACTCAGGTGTTATTTCTCTGCACCCTGTAAATTCACGCCATATCCCACCCTTCAAACCGAAACACAACTGCTTCCGATTGAAACACGAATGGGACAGGGGTACCCAAGCAAACGACTTTTGTACAGTCTCCCTTTGGTAAACCAATAAGACATCTTGGATGATTTATTAATAATCAAAACAGTCGTACGCATATTTTGTGCAAGTACATAATATGAAGTTATTAGAGAACCGCTGCCTAGAGACAAGGTGACGACACCGCTGGGACCGAGCGAGTCGGCCGGTGGAGACGTGATGAATATCTAGCCTCTACGACATCTTGTAATTAATATCTACCCGTTCCGCGAAGGGGAGCCCCAGAAACATTCAGTTATTAACATCGTGACTTGAGAACTTCGAAAGAAATAGATTACTGATTAAAAACAAGTAGATTGAATGCAATATAAGCACAGAAAATCGGGATAGTTGTATGATTTCTCCATTTACGATATCATATGTTATCTCTATTTAAATTTATACATCATATTCAAAATTAATGAGTATACAATATTTCTAGTGACTAGATGCAGTAGTTCCTTTTATTCTTATACATACATTAGTATATATGACATCTAACATTTTACAATATGAATATAAATAATTATAAACTACAGAATATATTAAATAACTATATAATACTAATAACAATTACGATATGAATAGATATACACTAATACTTAAATAATGAATAATAATAATAAGAAAATACGTACTTATCGTGATACACTATTTCGAAAGTGAAAAAAGTGTTGTCCTTGAACAACCTTTGTACCTTATGTACTAATTATGTATTATGTATTAATTAATTATTATGGAATGCAATAATAATTAAATAAATAAATATGTAATATGATAATAAGTATATTAATATCTCATCTCGGCCTCTCGCATAGACTGCCATAAAGAACGGGCCTGAGCCATCTGTATTCATGACTAACTGCAATGCATTTGAAGTGGTCAATTCATTTAGTGGGGGTCGTTCTACACTGCTTTTACATATACGGGGTTGCCAATCAAAAACCTTTCTTCCCCATCGTTTCGTCGGTTCTTCGATCTATATGACTAGCTTATTGCCACTTCAGCTTGCTTATCCTTCAGGCTATATCGGTGACATTGGTTCTTTTGCGGATATCCTCATTTCGGATTATGTCACGCAAAGAACATTAGTAGTAGTAGTAAATGGTAAGAAGTATATTAATATATTTTATTGTAATATATATTAGGTATATCCTACCATAACAATGATAATTACGCTAATGAAAGAAGGAAAACGAGAAGGGCGGCCCATTATGTGGTCCCCAAGCGACAGTGGATAATTACTTGACATTATGTAGAATAATAAAGTCATAATATTTAACACATGTTGAATGGTATGCTCTATAGCCAGGACGTCCCAATTAACGCCCCCTGATCGCTTAATGGCCAATATGATATCCTTTTACGATCAATTGTTCATGTAATCGGCTATTGACATGCGCTCCATGCATTTTTGATGGTCGACAACTTATAGTATTTGCAATGGTTTGTTATTACTAGTTTATTTGTGCATTTTTACCTTTAAGTCAACCTTCTTGCAGAACAGGTTGATGGAAGCAAATACCAAAGATTGTACGCGCCTTTTTTACATAACAGAGTATACTGTGTCACCCATGATACCTTTCTTGCGTTCTCATTCCTGAGGATTAAGGTGTTTATCTTGTAATTTCACTGTCATATTCCACCCTTCAATCAAAATACAGCTGCGCAAACACCATTACTTCATGGCAGTAACATGAATTAGATAAAGTTACCCAAGCAAACTACTTTTGTACAAAGTCTCCCTCAGGTATCATGCTTCATCCATTTTTATGAATAATCATATACCGGAGACCTTTGACATTTTCAGGATCTCTCAGGTTACTGGCACTTTTTTTTAGGGTCCTGTACCTCCAGAGAAAAAAAACATAACTCTTGTAAGATCGCTTAGTTGTCCGTCTGTTCGTCCGTCTGTCAAGTGCCTTTTTCTTAGGAACGTGTGGAGGTATTAAGTTGAATTTAATATTACTCAGGTCTGCAATCGCTTAAAGCAATGAAAAAATCAAGCTTCTTAATCGAAACCATCAAAAAATATGGCCGTTTATGTTGCATTTATATCGCATATTTTTACATCCGCAAAGAGAATTAAAACGGGTACTTATCGTTGATCTAGAATCATGAAATTTGGCAAGAAGCATTGTCATGTAGCACAAGTAAAGAAAAACTTCCGAAAACTGTAAATTTGTAGTGACTTCATAAAACAAAACAAATCAAAATGTTTAAACCTGATGATTTTGTACGGTACCTGATGTTCGTTGCGCGAGTCCGACTCACACTTGACCGACATTTATTTTTTCATTGTATATCTTTCATCCCACATTCTTTCCACATGTCCGAATTAACACAGCATGCCCTTTTTCATTTTTATCTCGACATTTTTTTCAATACACTCGCTGACACGCACTACCGCACTTTGTCGTGTATAGTACATAATATTAAGCAACAAAAAAATGTATCAATCATTTTTCTAAAAATTAATATTTCAATAAGAAAAATTACAAACACCTAAGTCTATTTAAGGTGTCGAAAATATTGTAGTCTGCAAACAAATTCGCATGTTTTTAGTACTTTGTTTTTAATAGAATGTTATAAACATTTTCTAACGTTTTAATACTTTATCCTAATAAAGAGTTTTAATTTGTAAAATAATAATATTTAATATAAACCACTACTCCAATGTAATTAGATTTTCACATGCAGTTTTTTTTTATTTATATACTTTGTTGGTCTCGTTACTTTTGTTATCTTGTGTATTTATAGAGTATTGTAAATTTGAGCTGCACGACATGCATAGTTAAGTAAAAAATATGAAAACTCATATTTTATGCGAGAGACGACATTTTTGCACAATCATTTGAGAGCAGAAAGGGATAATATTTTTTAATGTTAACAGCTGATATGATGACGATAATAGTGTCTTATAGAGGTTCAGTTAAAACTGAAATTGTTAAAAGTTAATTAAACTATTATTGTTAATTAAACATTGTAATCTAAAACATTTCTCAGTAGCGATAGCAATCTTTACAAAACAGCAACTCCTAAACTTCTACATTATATAGGTTCGCGAATTAACTTGCTAATTAATTGGTAGGAAGTTAGTTT